GGGGCGCGGGGCAGCGCGGGCCGGCCGGGCCGCCGGGGTTTATTACATCCCAGCCACGGCAAAGGTTAGGAGCGCGCGCTTACAGACAGGATAATCCGAGTCTAAATATTAAAAGTAAAAGCAGAACCGGCCGAATATTTACCCAGAGACTGAGCAGAGCTGCCTTTTCGAGAGGAGAGGGACCTCGAGGAGGCCCAGCTCCCAGCCTGCGGCCCCGGCGCCGCGGGTCCGCAGTGTCCCGTCGGGACCCAGCTGGAAATCCTCCTGCGCCGGTGGTTAAGGGTGAGGGACGGCGGACCCCCACCCCCGGCTCCCGGGAGTAGCTCGGAGTCGCCCGGCTCGGTCCAAATCTTCTGCTTTGTCATAGTCCTTTTTAAAGGGCCTTCCGGACTTACACAAAAGGTGGCGGAAAGTACGTTGGATCAATAGCAAAGATTGTTATTTAGATAACGAATTAATCTCCCTGTTATAATACTTTTTATAGTGAACTTTGTACCCCTTCCATAAGAAAAAGGAATTTAAAGGAAAAAAGTCTCAAACAGGATTAAGGTTTTAATTACAATTCCCTATCGAAATAGTATGTTTGATGAGCTGATCTTATCAATTAATAGTAACATTAAAGCTCGGGAAACAGATTCACGGAAAATATGCTTAAGGGAGTCTTTTAAAAGTAATCGCACCAGGGAGCTTGTGGGGCAGCCGGCTGGGGATTCGGAGCCCTGGCAGATTTTGGGTGTGCTTCTGTTCCGACTTGGTCTGAGCGGGACACGCATCTGGGGTTCAGGATGGGGCAGGGGCGCGGGCCCCGCGCTGGGAGCCCAGGCTGAGCCGGTGAGAGGAAAATAATAAATAACAGACGCCTCTTCCAAGCCGAGGCCCACATCAAAGTTGGAGCCCCGCAAGGGCCGTGCAGTTCACTGCGTTTGGGTCAGCGTTATATTCCAGGGGCAAATAAAGTAATTTGAACATGCATCAACAGTTTTCCATAAAATACGAGTTAAAAGAAGTAATAGAACTAATCACTGTCTTCTCAAATCAAGTAGAAAACATTTCAATGCACTAATTAGAGTAATTAGAATAATAAGCCTCTGCCTATATGTGGTAAGACAATGTGTACAAACAACTTTATTTAATGTATACTGGTAATCAGCGATGCGTGCCTGCTTGAATGCTTAGCGCAATAAAACTACCCTCCGTCCGCCCAAACAATCAAATACAAATTAGTTTAATGATTGTGCCTGCTGAATGTCTTAGAAATCCACAGGCAGAGGCGAGTAAATAGAAGCATCCTTGTTTGTGTGCGATCCCGCCCGGGCTGGCCGCAGGGCCCCGGTGAGTGGCCGCGGGCAGGCGGGAGGCTGCGGAGCCGGCGGAAGCCAGGCCTCGCCCGAGCACAGACCTGCTCCCCGCGGGAGCCCCCAGTTCTGCCCTTCGCCGCCTTTCCAGCCCTCCTACCTAGCATTCCACCTCCCCCGCAGCCCTGCCACGCACCCCAGGCTTCAAGAGCACTAGTCCAGCAGCCGGCCTCTCCTCCTGAGGAGGCGAAAGGCCGCACTGGAACTACCAACGCCCTTCTTGGAGACTAAGAGATGAGTTTCCGGGACAGGGAGACTTCGCCTAGGGGCCTAAGGTGGCTCAGGAGGGGGAGTGAGCCGGCCTTCGAGGGTCCAAACTTGGAGTTGGAAGCCAGGCCTCCAGTACTGGGGCTGGGCCCCTGGCTGCTTCCCTTTCTCAGCTCTGGCTCGGGATCTCAGGGTGCCTAGCCTGCCTTCTGAGTTCCTGTCTTTGGGGAACTGACTGGGCTCATCAGAGAGGGGCTCAGAGAATCTTTTCTAGGGTGCTTCAGTGCTCTGAGATAAGGTCCCTTTCCAGGGGAGCTGAGGTCAGAAGCAGCCAGAAGTTTGATAGGTTGGCGCCAAAGAGCACCCGCTTTAGAACTTTGCTCCCTAGCTTTTGGCTGTTCCCTTCCACTCCTGACCTCACAGACCAGAAAAAGCCCAAGTCTCTGTACTTTTCAAGCAGCTGTTTTTTCTTCCCCAGTTTTCTTCTCTCCTGTTTCCTCTTGGGGCATCGTCTCCCACAATTACCACTCCCACGAGGGAGCAACGTCCTGGGCCCGACTTGTAGAGTCACGCGGAAGAGCACAGCAGGCAGAAAACTAGGAAATCTCACTCTCTTCTGAGCTCTTGGCCTCTCCCCTTTACCCTCGCCCCCACTGCACCCCTGCCCCAGCCTCGGCTACCCCCAGAGAGGCCCTGCCAACTCCTGCGCCTATATCTCCTCCCCCAGAGCGACAGCTATACCCAAGGCATCTGTCCTCGCCTTAACCACCATTTCTAGCTCAGCCCTTGGCTGTGTAACACAACCACCGTGCACACGTGCCCCCACCCCCCAGAGCCTCCCTGGGAAAGGAGACTATTGCGATAACCAGCGAGGTCCACGCTGTCGACCCTTCCCCCTGGAGTGGGCTCATCCGACTTGCAGAGTCGCTAAGAAAGCCTGATGCCAGACAGGCGCTTGGGGGCAGTTGGCAGCATCTCGGAGCGCAGGACGGCGGGAGGTACAGGGCACGCCCAGTTCAGCCCTCTTCCCTCCCTTCCCTGCGCCGGCTGGCCGAGCTTCAGAGGCCTTCAGGTGTGCTGCCTGGCTCCCCGAAAGGTGGGAGGTGGGAGGCGCACGGCGAGGACCTGGCGCCGACTTTGTGTCTCGCGCGGCGCTGATGCCCGCTGGCAGCACACTCGCCCGCTTTGCCCAATCGCTGCACCAACTTTGAAGATATATTTGTTAGGGAAACAACATCAACAAAAAGTTATTAATGTCAAATAATTCTCTCCAGAATCATGTGTTGCGGAACATAAAAGGTCACATAAAAATTCCTCTGACAGAAGGATTTCTTAACGGGCAGGGCAAGAGCTCCAACTTTCCACATGGATGTTTGCCTGAACCTTAAAGCCCAGCGATTTCAATAGCTAATTTGTGTTACAAACCCACAGGAAACTTTCTTTTTCCTATTCTGCTGCCGAACTCAATGGCTGTATTTTTGATGTGTGGCTTTTTTTCTTCTTGTTGTCTTTTTTAAAATAACAAATCCAGAGGAAACACTGATGGGAGGAAAAATATATGATCCAAATAAAAGGGGGGGTAGGGTCAACTTTACTCCACAGTGAGGTTTCCCATTGCACACGGAGAGTTAATTCATAACAATCGAATCTCCTCCCTAGCCCTCAGATGGTGTCCTAACACTCCTGTCTTTCTAAAATTGGTGACAACTACTGCTTTGTGGAAGCATTTATTTTTCCTCTTCTTCTTTTTTTTTTTTTTTTTTTTTTCCTAGAGGACAACTCCTCTTCCTGAGAGAAGAGAGCTGTTTGCCGCCAACTACAGACCCTTCCAAAAGCCCAGGTTCTTCAGGCAGCAGCCGTGTGTGGAAGTCCTCCCCCTTAAATTGTAGACAAAGAACTATAAAAACTCAAAAAGATGTAGAAGAAATAAACTTTAAGATATAGATGCACTTTTACTGGTGTATTAAATAACATTTCAGACTTTTTTTAAAAAAAGAAATACATCTGAATGTTACCAACAATCAGAATTCTAGAATTCAGACTAGGATTGTTTTGATAGAATATGATACTGTTTCTAAAACCTCTAACAGCTAAACCAAGCAGAGGTGTTATCAAGGTAAAGTGAGGTACCATATGATAAAGTTAAGTGACTTCTTTTTTAACGATGGGAACACATTTCCTAGTTTCCCACCAAACACCAGAACAACTTGAAAATATTCTGATTGTTTCTTTTTCTCTATAACGAAGCAAAGCCTTAAAGAAAATTAAAAAGTCATTTGCTGGCACTGCCATACTTGCCTCTAGATAATGGCACACTGAAATAAAACCGTGGCCCACTTTCTACAAACATGGGCTAGTTGATCCCATGGTTTGCGAGCTGGGTGGCAAGCTCATACCACTTTTACATTGTTTCCCACCCTCAGTCAAGCAGTGGGCATAAGCTTCAGGAACGTAAGTTCTCTTCTACCACAGTCTGTCCTGCTAAGAGACCATACACCATTGGAAAAGTACTCTTTTCTAAATAGTGAAAATATATAAAACTTAGATGTACATTCCACTCAGTCATATTGTTAAAATTCATAGTACTTCAAGATGCACCTTTCCCTTTCCTTGTAGATAGCGTCCATTTGCCTTACCCACTGAAATATACAGACCCAAGAGACCCTCACTTTCTCATCCTTCTTTTTCTGTACAAGCTCTATTCTTTACCTCATTCTTTTATTTGTGTAGTAATTCCATAGAATCTAGAACAGTTCTACAAACTGAAAAACAAACACAAATCACAGAGAGGAGTGATAAAAAGATTATTTCACCGCATTCCCCAGCACTATTCGAGATGCTTCTACAATAAGGAAAATGGAAGGCAAATGATACAGCATATAGGCATACACGTGCAGAGACCAGCGCACCCAAATGCCATCGTCACCCTCACTGATGCTGTTACATTTCTTTATTTGTTGCTTTTAAAGAAAGAGATGATAGAAAGATGAACGCCCTCATGAAAGCCATTTCACCAGAAAATTTTGTCCATCGGGGACTAGAAGAGGGAAGAGAAGAGTGCTTTTGTTACTAACATCTGAAATATAAAGGAGGTTACTTTGTGGGAACTAAGAATGTTTAGAAATGCCAAACATAACATTATTTGTGACACTTCCCTCCATCTGACCTTCACACAATTCTCTCCCACATGATCATTTCTCTTTCATCTTATATCATAAACTTAAAAAGTGACATATTTTGGAGAAACGTAAGAGTTCTGTCAGGGTGGCTGTATTCTATATTATTGTATTTAGGGGAGAGAAAATATTTTTCCTTTTGGCTAAGCCAATATCTTAGGGATGACTGCTCACAGATTTCTCCCAGTGGTCATGATGGAGTTTTTCATGGTAGTGTGTAATACATTTCCAAACTGGTGTGGAAATTCCCTGAGTAGCTTTAGAATTTGAGTGGCAAGCATGAGTCAAGGCCAAAATGTGTCCCTGTAACCTGGGATGTTTTCCAGTCAGTAGCCCCTGTGGCTAAGAACAAAAATGCCTTCTCAAGGTCCACTCAAATGCCCTGCAGAGGGCAGATGCAGCATGTTTCCTGCCTACAGTGGAGGGATATTGACCCAGAACTCAAATCTATACCCAGCTTAAACATTTTACCCATCAGCATGTCTTCAGTCACAAAACACTTCTTCTTTCTGTCACTTCTTGTTCTGGCTATTGATAAGATCACTTGGTTGAATCTGTTTGGGATCCATGTACTATTGACTAGGTGTTAGGAAAGATGATCCGATGTAATAATCTCAGAAACTATCTTTCTAAATGGACTGACTTATACTTAAACCATGTTCCATGAAGGACTTTAAATATATCAACAAACTTATAAACTAATCCAATAGTTTAGAATTCTCATTTTAAAACTGCGTTTGGTAAGTGCAGTGTTCCATCTAATATTGTGTGAAAACAGTCTGTTATTAGCATTATTACTTGAGTTTGTCCAATAATTCTCCTCCTCCTTTTTTAAATTTTAAAGCTTATTTGTTTGCTGATGGGAAATAGACACTATGTTATAAACCACTGCAAAATCTTTTCCTGTAAACCTCACATTAACAGTATATAGGAGCTACTTCTAATGATTTGGAAAACTCACATACAGTATATTGTCTGGGTTACTCTTTATTGAAAGATATTTGTTGATTATTAAGAAGAATAATCCTCTAAGCCCTGCTTTCCTGCAGGTCCCAAATTATGTGAGGACATGTGAGTAGAGATTAGAGTCTACCTAGTTCTGTTCATATGCTCCAAAATAGCCCAACTGGACAAGATACAGATAACCTGGAGAGAAAATGCAGAGACATCTGCATACATTTACAGGGCAATTTTTTTTTTTTTTTTGTAGACCATGAAATGGCAAACAAATTGAAGCTCAGATCCAAAGATCATTTTGATTTAATGCTACAGGCATAGGGACTGAAAAGATTTGGAATTGATGCTTATTTTTGCAAAGAAAAATAAATCAGAACAGTAGCCTCCATTTAAAAAAGATGCCTCTGAAAGTTATAAACATGAAACCTGGCAGTATATGCATAAAATTTATTCCAAAACTTTATGAAGTATAAAGGAAGGGAAGTGTTTTACACATAACTCAACTCAGTCAGTATAAGGTCTAGGGTTATTTTTCTCCCCTTAAAACTTGGCACTATCTTTAAAAATAAAATAAAGATATTTCAATAATTAGAACAAACTATGAAGGTATTGTGCATTTCTGTTTTATGTAATAATAAAATATTACTTTAACATAAATATATAAGGATCTCTGCGTTTTTATTTTCCCCACAAGCACAACCAAATGTACCAAAACAAAGTAATTTTAAAGAGACTGAACAAAAAAAATTACATCCCATATAGATTTTGCTCACCTACTCACTTAAAGCTACAGAAAAAACAGTTTCCAGAACCTTTTTGCTTCAAAAGAAATAAATATACATTGAGGCAGGCCACTTAAAAATGATATGAAAATATTTCCCTGGGTAGCATTAAAAAAAAGAAAAAATAGACAAAGAAACATTTAAACTATTTCTGCATTTCAAAAGACAGATATTAAACATATATACATAGCGGTAAGGTTCAGTGGTAACTTTCGTCTTAGTAAACCTATGAGAGTTAGAGGAGCTGTAGGCATATCCCCTGAACTCTAGCTTCTGACCTTACCTACTTGGTAATAAGTATCTGAAAATTCATTTCCTCCCTTTACCATTGGCTATTTGCCCTGCTTTGGATTGCTTCACTGAAAGCCAGTCCCCTCACCTCAGGAACAGGCAGTGTGAAGCACCCCACAGCTCTGTGCCCATTTTCCTTGTGACATTCATTGGGGGAAATGAAGAACAGGCAAATAATATGCCCATTATAAGTCACCATTTATCTTGCAAAAACATTGAAAATGAAACAATCACAGGTGTTTGAAAAGACAATCTGGTGTAAAGCATATTTCCTAAAACCTTAACTACTGAGTGCAATGCTAATCTGATGCTGAACCATAATTTTATGGTAGTGAGTTTTTTTTTTAAAATAAACATTTATCTAATATTTAACCAGAAAAAAAGCCCCAAACTTTAAAGTTAATAAAAAAAGTGTCTTCCCTTTTAGCGCCCTTTTGTGCTGATTATTATTTTTAATCTTAACTGATCACAGTTTAATGGTATTTATTTTCAATACAGTTACAACTTTTTTTCTTTCACCTACACTTCCCAGTAGAGTCTTTTGTTTTGGGAGTTAACAGTTTTCCATCAAGACAAGGTAAAAAATGCACTTAAAACTATTAACAAAGGAGAAAAAGAAAGGATTGAAAATGGCATTTTTTTTTTTCACTTCATTTGGCTTCCTTAGTGAAAGTGGGGGGGATAAAAGCTGTCCAAGTTGAACTGGTATTTTCTGTAATAAATTACAGGAGAAGAGGGTGATGGGACCCTAAATATGAGATGATAAACAAATGAGCTAGTGAAGACAAAACCAGTCTACTGTCTGTATGCGTGTGGCATTTGTGTGCTACGAAACACAGTCTATGCATACAATATTAAGTTCCTGGGTTATTTTCTTTTTGATTTTTAAGAAAAGCTATTAGAGGAACAAAGTTTAATTGCTGCTGTCATCACATATAATTCCTCATAACTAAGTTATTAAAACCAAAGGGAGGGAACTATTCAGGGATCTCTGAAGATATATATTTTCCTAGTTTTCTTCAAAGTGCCACTTTCCTTCTGTCGGACAACTCTGGAAATATATTTAAGCTCCACATTTCCTCTGAGCTCTTTCACAATGGGCCCGCCTGATAAAATGAAGCAATCAGTCACTCATTATCGATTTCTCTTTTTCTCCCCTCCATAACCTCTCCCAGAAACACTGCCTGAAAATGAAGTTTACTTTGTCGGTAGTAACAAAAACCTATGCTTGATTCTCGTTTTTTTATATTCCAAACTAGATTCTTGCTTTGGATAAAACAGAACATACACATGTCCTGAAAGCAGACAATTAATTTTGTATGAAGCCAATCATTTTGCTTTGGTTAAAGGAGCAAATAAATGTTACACCGATTCAAGGGGGAATCTAAAGGTAAGCAAAGTTCACACATAGTAAGAAAAAGGGGTAATACAAGGACATCAGAAATAGCGAGCAAGAGCTGGCTACAATTCTGCCCGCTGAGTAAAGCAAAACAAAACACCGCCAAAACTAATGGTGAGGAATAAGAGAAAAACATGTTTATGAATTTGTTCATGTAAACTTCAGTTTTCTTGCAGTGTAAATTCATGTGTTAAATTTTACTTATATCAGAGATGTGTGTATTTTTGTCCTCTTTCCTGATGGGGATCCACGTTAAATAAACACAGCAGCAGCATGTGCCAGCTTCGAGCATCGGCAGCTGCAGTTCTGTGTTTATCATGGTTTGGTGGATTTTTTTTTTCTTTTGGTAATTTATTTAGTTTTGCCAGGTATTTGTCTCAGATTTTCTCTCTCCCTCCCTCTGTCCCTCGCTCCTCTCTCTCTAGGAGACACTATTTCATAGCCTGGGTACTTGCCTGCAAAGGTCATAACACATTACAACTGCTACCGTTTATAGGATAGTCCAGTGTCTTAGCTGCTTTCCTTTTTCCTTATTTTTTTCTTTTTAAGGGACGGGGAAATAATAATTAAAAATAAAAGAACAATCAGAAGTTAGAGAGGGAAGAGGGGTCCCGGAAAGGACTAGGCGCCAAAGGGGAGGGAGAGCCCTGCGCTCTGCCCCTCCCCCGCTCGAGTTCACTGGACCGGCGTCTGCACCCCGTGGTGTGGTGGCGTGTCCCTACTCCCCCCGTACACATCCTCGGCGCCCGGCAGAGTCCCTCCGGGAGGGGTCATCCTTTTCTCTTTCTGTCTCCTGTTACAAAACCAAACTCTCACCACCTCTTTCTCCAGCTGTAAGCTGTCCGCGAGGGAGGTGATCTCCTGGGCCGAGGGCTTGGGGCATTTGAGGAAATGACTCTCCAGAGCCCCCTTGACGCTCACCTCGATGGAGGTCCGCTTCTTGCGCTTGCGGCCCTGCGCCGCGATCTTGTCGATGCTGGTGGGGCTGCCGGTGCTCGAGTCCGCCTCCTCCAGCCACTTGTTCAGCAGCGGCTTGAGCTTGCACATGTTCTTGAAGCTCAGCTGCAGGGCCTCAAACCTGCAGATGGTGGTCTGCGAGAACACGTTGCCGTACAGGGTGCCCAGCGCCAGCCCCACGTCTGCTTGGGTAAATCCCAGTTTGATCCGCCTCTGCTTGAACTGCTTGGCGAACTGCTCCAGGTCGTCCGAGGTCGGCGTGTCCTCGTCTGAGTGCGGGTCGTGGTGAGCGCCCGGGTGGCCCGGAGGGCCCTGCGGGGGTGGTGGCGGCGGCGGCTGCTGGTGCGGGTGCGAGTGGGGGTGCGGGTGGTGGTCGGCGTGATGCGGCTCGTCGTGCGCGTCCCGCAGGCCGTGGTGGTGCAGCCCCGCCGGCTGCCCGCCAGCGCCCAGCATGCCGTTCACGGTGAAGCTGGGCTGCGAGTAGAGCAAGCCGCCGTTGGACGCTCCCATGGAGGGCGGGAGGTGCGCCGCGGCCGCCGCGCTCCGCCATGCCCCGGGCCCGGGGTGGTGGTTGGCGGCGTGGTGCACCAGATGCGGCGGCCGCGGCTGCTGCTGTTGTTGCTGCTGCTGTTGCTGCTGCTGCTGCTGTTGCTGCTGTTGCTGCTGCTGCTGGTGCTGCGGCTGCAGCGCGCCTGGCCCGTGCAGCTCGTCGCCGCGGCCGCCCTGCTGCACCACCACCGAGGGCTTGATGTCCGGCTGGCCCAGGGGGCTGGTGGACCACGGGGAGCCGTCGCCGCC